TTTACCGATAATGGTAAGATTGGAAATAATCCCGACAAAGAGAAAGGAAAAGAAAGGTAGGAAAGGAGAACGGTCTCAAACTGTTGCCGGAAGATGGAAAAAGAAGGAGTTTTATTCCACTTGCGAAAAATCAACGAGGCAAAAGTGGTATAATAGTAAAAAAGAAATAATTAAAACAATTGCAGATATATACTAAGTACGTTTGCGCATTCTTATAGAAATTTAATATTAGAAGGTAGTGATTATAATTATTTATTTTGAATATTAAAAGCATTGTTATTCAATTTTTAATATTAAATTGGATTTTTCTAAAGGCGTATAAAATTTACTTACGTGAGAACGAGTAGCTTTCATAATATACAGCTTTTCTAACATACCTAAGTAAACGGAGGGAGGGGGAGGGAGTTTATATACTTATTATACAATAAACTTATCTCCGACGAAGGTTGAAACCCCGAAAGAAAGCTCTTCAAATCGTCGAGATTGGAAATTCGCATGCCACTGGCGTTCAATGAACCTTTTAATAATACTTGAAATTCCACTCGTTTCACTTTCTAGAAATAGATTAACATTCCCCTGTGTAACACTTAATGGGAGACTACCTTGTTCCTTGCTCCTTGATCGAAAGTCGCGTTGATGACATAGTTCAATATCAGATATGTTCGATAATGAGATCGACAATTAACGTTAACACATACATCGGCACGTAATTATGCCCGCGACGATAAACGGAAACTTAAGCTTAATCAGCTGTTTGCAACCGCAATGCTGTCGCCGCAAAGTAGCTATCACTGTTTTGCAATTGTCGGTTATACATGACAGTTGTGATGGTATGTTAAGCAGTATAACAAAAAACGAATTTTAACGAAACGAATCTTATGTCCGATATGATTCGTGTTGAATTCTTCACACGCATCTCTTCCTGCAGTAGATTAGTAGGTATTGTACTGTATTCTTTATATCATCTTTATTTTTAACACAATGCCAATTGTAGTGCAAACAAAAATTACACTATAATGTAAAAGATATATAAAGCAACATAGATACAATCGAAACTTACCGGACCATTACTGGTATGTTTTCGCTGAACTGCGAAAGCGGTAAGACCAGCTGAATAATGCACGGGTTTTTGTAAGAACGCATTAAGCAATAAGAGACAGTGGCGCGAAAATCCCGTTCTCGATCGCCCTTGTAAACGCGAGACAGAAAGTCCCGGTTAAGTTGCACTCGCGTATATCATTTTCCGGGCGTAAGGTGCGCGCACGTATACTCACAATCCTAAAGAGAAAGAGAGAAAGACTGGCAGATTTATGCGAATGCAACCGAAACGCTCCAGTGCAATTTCGCATTTGTAACGAGCGTGCGTGACCATTAACCACCTTAGAAGGCCTTGAAGCAATTCAACGTAACTCTCCCTTAATTTATCGAGTTTTGTAAAACGGTGTTATAATTTAGGCGTATATAACGTTCAACCCGATTTATGACATAATCTGTATCATCTGATAACACCATTGTGGCATGATACGCTCAATCGAACTTGATAACGGCGAGAAAGAAATGCACTCTTTCAATGTCAAGTTAGTAAAGAAATATTTGCTAATGTCAACATCCGCTGTCTCTATGCATTTTGAGAAATCTCTGCCTATGTTCTTGGAAGCTTCTTCAGTCATTTATTTACGATGACGGTTATACCTCTGTCATCATATTTACTGTAAGAATCACTTGTCGAAGAAATTTAAGACGTACATGCTAATGAATTTATGTATATTCTGACGTTTTGGCGATTTTAAACAAATGTTTTTGTCTCGTTAAATTTTTTTTATAATTTTATGTTAGCAATATATAAAAGAATAAAGGTTTCGAAAAAATTAATTATCTACAAACAATATATTCAAAAAATTTAAATAAAGTACAAATGAGAGTAGACACTAGATAGATGTACGTAAAAAATGTATTGTAGGTATAATAAAAAGAAAACAACTATAAAAAAATTAGATACAATACAATAAACATTTTAACCTTTAACTTGGGCCTTTTTCAATATATATATAACTGACAAAATAAAGCATTTAGTTAAATATTCACATCATGAATCGAAAATTAAAGTTGTAATAATATAACGGTGAAATAGCAAAGGTAAATAAAGAGTGTATAATATAAGCTCAAACAATTTTGTACGTTATATGATGCAAAAAATACACAGTATTTATCTCAGCTACATTTAAGGCCAAAATACGTGGACGCTATTTTGTTAATAAACTTCTTTGAAAATATACAACATCTTGCCTGTGAATTCTATCATGATTTGTCAGTTATTATTTTTCAATTGTTATTTTGTTCAACTGAAAAGGACACATATCTATAGAGTTGAAATATTTATTGTATTGTATTTAATTTTTATTAGTATGTTTTTTTAGATGCGTTCGGATTTTATGTTTATATTTTTGTCGTAAATAAAAATAACACATAATCGAAAATTAGAAGTCTGCAAAAAAACATTTAATCAAATTTTTCCATTAAGGAAAAACGTATTTAATATTAATTAAAGACTCTAATACAACTACAGAGAAAGTGTGCGAAATCATATTACCGATATTTGAAAGCTAATAATGTTTTACGCCCTCAAGGAATACATATTTATTTCGTAATATAGGTACGCCTATGATTTTTTCTACATTCTAATATAGAAGGTTGATAAAGAAAAGTTAACGTTAATTTTATCTCAAATTTAAAGTTTAGAATGCCGAAAGTATGAAACTAATTAAAAATTAATATATTTTATATTTTATCTAATAGTTATTTTAATTTTTCGTAAAATTACAGTGTGTCATCTCTATTTCTCTTCAATAAAAGAAAGAAAAAATAGTAGGGTTTTCAGATATTATTTTAGTTTTCTCTTTTTCTTTTAGTAATTGTTACTCCTGTTCGTATCTTTTGTTTGAGAAAAATATATCACAAACTTTTGGAATAATTAATATAAAACGTTGATATGAGAAAGTGGCTCAATGTGGCTGTATCTTTATTTATGAATAATTATAATAATAATTTAATGATTTTAATAAAAGTCATGTAACATATTAAAAGTAAAATAACAAAAAGATGATAGTTTCACATAAATTCATATACAATAGTATATGAGGTATATAGACCATTTTTTCCCTGATAGATTACGTTTGTAAAAAAAGATGCATTTATCATATAAATTATTTATTTATTATACATGTTTTGCTCTATTGACGTAATTCTTTTAATCTTTTCTTATTACTATTGCGGCAGTTAATCGATTATAGGTGTTTTCTAAATAAAACGATCATAATGAATAAAACGGTGGCTTTTACGACAATTGCGTGCGTCAGCAATGTAATTGCTTAATTTACTGTTTCAGCAGATATCATTTAATGTAACGTAGTTTAATGTCACGTCGCAAAATGATTATAATTGGTTATTATAAATGGTTATGATCTGAAACTGTATATTGTTTAGATATCTGATATAGTGGTGCATCATTATTAGAAATAAATCATTCATGTACAGTGTTTTAGAGATTAATAATATTCATACCTTAAACGATCCGGCGCATTTAAGAACTACTTTCGTTCCTAAATTTCAAGAAATTTTTAATTAAATTTTTTATTTTTTAAAGAATATTAAAAAAAAATTTTTATAGGTGTCTTAATTTTTTATGCCGATATGGTAATCCTATAACTAAGCAAAATACTTTTTTCTCAATCAATATTTACTAAATATTTATCATATTAATATACGTACTTCATTGCCATGTGATTGTTTAAAGTTACAGCTTGCATCTTGACTTTTTACATAGACTTGACGTTTACGTAAAATCAAGAAATATATTTTTAAACTCTCTTAAAATATAAGAAATAATAAACATATAAGTATAAAATATAAAATAATATGCCTTTTTAATAAAATATAGGGTATAATTTAGGACATAGTTTAAAATATAAATGATAGTTTCAAAAAGATAATTCCAATCTTGTCACATATGGTAATACGATTAAAAGTAATTGTTTATATATAACAATTATATTACGTGATCTTTTTGTAATTTTAATTAAGCAGTTTTTGATCAGAATTTGCGTTGCGCTGATAAAAAATTTTGTATAAATGCATACTTTACGTTTACGTAATGCGTGTCCGATGACAAAAGTTACGTTACAGGACATGCCGCATTGCTAATTTTACTCTTCATCGCATTTTTTTTTCGCGATCAGTTCAGGTTCCGGTCAGTTTCACCTTCTCCTTCCCCATTTAATTTCGATTTGGTTTTGCATTTCAGGCAAAAGTCAAGAATAAAGGACGAACGGCGAGACGGCGAGTGAAAGTGAAGCTGGAGGAACGTACGTCTTACTTGGACCAGGTGTGAAAGTGCAGTGCGTAATACGAACGTAAGAAATACGTGGTGTGGTGGTACCTGTCGAAATTGCTATCGACAAGACAACAGCGGGGGACAGACAGTAGTGATGATAACGACGTCGATAATGATGACGCAGCTGTATGTTCAATACGAGAACAATGTCCAATGCAGTGACAGTAGATGATGGTAATAATGATGATGACGATGATGATGATGATAACAATATTGATGATGACCTCCTGTACACGCAATATTCATTTTGGGTCAACGTGCTTACAACCGCTAATTAGAGCATATATAATTAATTAGTAATTTCTAGTGGATTATCTAAGCCTTTTTACTCCACTTTCATTCGGCTGATGATCGACAGTTTCGTTCATCAGTCGAAAATTAACCATTCGAAGACTTCAGTTCGAGGACTCAAATCCTAATAAAAGTGTGATTAAAACAAGCTTTCTTTTACACAAACATTATTTATAAGAAATGGCTGAAGTGTAATGTTATTGATTCGGATCAATAAGTATCTTATTATTAGCGTTACATTACGTGAAACTATTTTATCGATTAACAGTCTCGAAAGGAGATTATTTCTTCTACAACGTGAGTAAATTGAAGAACGAAGATGAAGTTCATTGCATCTTTGTTCGGGACGAGGTCCCCGAAGGCTATGGGGAGGCAGTACATGAAAGTTGGCAGAAACGCTCTTTTTGGTGTGACAAATGATAACAGTGACAATATTTGTACCGAAAAGGTGCCAAGGCCGCTGTCCTTGCTAATCTCCAGGAAGGGAAAGCTCAGGCATGGTGAGTAACTAGTTTTATTTATCGATAAACTACTTTAAGTTTTATATTTAAAGCAGAAACTTGTTTCGCTTGAAAATTTTGCATTTTTAAAATTTTTGTCTTGATTCGTAGATATCATTTTTTTCTGTATTATATTATATATTCAACTAAAGGATTAATTATTTGAACTTAATCTTGAAACGTAAATAGGTTAAGCAATGACAAGGTTTACTCTTGCATAATCCGATTAATCCGTTCTAAACCACGATTCTCTCTTAACTGTAATTTTCTGCCGCGACTAATGATAATACGTTGTTAGATGCTTGCGAACTCGTGCCGGCAATCAGACCGGAACAATATTACAGCATGAGTAGCAAATTGCATTGTTCATTCCACACTTTCCTTAATTAGTCATTATCTAAAAAGGTAGTCGATTTAGCGTTAATTGATCTCTATAATGTTTCGAACGATGTCGGTGCCGAGACTAAGACGAAACTGAGACAAGGCTTAAGATCCGAATTCGGGACCGATACGAGACTTTTTATGCCGAGAGTCTCGTTGAGTCTCTCGAATTCTGTAATATGTAAGATACAATTTCCAACGCGTAAGATATAAGTTTTAAACTGTACGAGGATCGAATAGACATTATATTCGTATATAGCAACGAAAGGAAAAACAAGTTAGAAGTACAATAATATTGTTACATTATCGTCGGAATACTGTATGATAATGATGTAGTACTGTACATATTAAAGAAAAATTTTTAGTAAACTCTTTGAAATTAGGTTTGATAAAAAAAGAGATCACTTCTTAGAAACAATAATAATTCGTAATCGTTTTATCTGCATTTAATTTAAAAAAAATTCAATGAACTTTATAGTGCATCCTGGTATATTTAAAAACTAAATTAGCCTATATTTAACACATATTTAAATATGTACATATATAGGTAATTATACAAACTTAATTGAGCAAGTATCTCAGTCAGACGAGATTATCATTGTCAAGACCAAGCCGATTCCTAGACAAGACTGAAAATTCGAGACTAAATCGAGACTAAGACGAGATTTGAGTTAATCTCGTTTTGTTTTGGTGAGACCGAATTATTAGATCTCTACAAGATATTCTGCTAATAATATCATTTGAATACGCGAGTCATAGTAAATAAAGAAATACGATGTAGGTGTATGACAAAAGTTTCTTCGCGATGAGAATGGTTGAAGTACATATTGGGTGCTCTAAAAATATCTGAATTTATTTAAATTTATTATTTTTTATAATATGGTAATTTATGAAATTTTCAAAAATATTTTAAAATTATATATTGCGAGCACATTTGATTTTATTATAACAACAGACAATTTAGTTATAATTTTGTCATATGTTAATTCCACTTTTTCCTTCTTTTTTTATTTTCCCTCCTTTTCCATCCCCCCCCTCTCTCTCTCTCTTTCTTTCTTTCTCTATCTTTGTGAAAAAATAGTATTATTTTTTATTAGTGAAATATGTAGCACTTATATAGCTGTTTTCTTTGTTTACTAACGTAACGTTTAAAATACAAATTAAATTTCAATTATTTTTAGTATTAACAACACACACACAAATTTTAGTTTGACTTAGAATCTAGTTAATATTTATTAAAATATATATACACATATATAATACATATATATTTAATTATTTATTTTATCAAGTATTACGTAAATAAAAGATTTTAATTCACAATTTAAATAGATACTTAATTTTATTAGATGTTAATTAATTTGCATGTTTTAGTGTCGAAACAATATGTTTTTTCTTTATTGCAATATTTTTGCTAAAGAGCATGTGATCACCTTACAACGTTATCGTTTACGAATAACAGGTATCAAAGTGAGAGTCACCGCGTATCACAATATCGCAACTCTCACCGCATTTAAAGAGCGTGCATAATTAGCGTTGCGTACAAGGTCGACGAGCCAATTTTTGTTACATGATAGTCGAAATATTTTTGTTATCTTGACAAACTAAACCAGAGAGAGAAAGTTAGTCGTTAGATTCGCTGTAATGCCTGTTGTAGCATGCAATTGATTAGGGTCGCGATAGCTCTTATCGTACATGTTCAATCTTTGTAAAGTCGTATTAATAAAATGTCTGATAAAGTGGATTTTTAAAAATAAAATTTTATTGGACTTTTTGCAATTTTCGCGTTACTTTTTGGATATTAATTAATCTGTTTCTAACGATATTTCTACTGTAATGAATATTATAATAAGTGTCTATTTCAGAGTTAATTTTTATAATTTAAAAGTTGTTAATATGTTTGCATAACTGACGTGCGTTAGAAGATAATATCTCTTTAATTACTACAAATGCGCAACACAATAAGAGAAACACTTCGAAAGTTGGCGTGTTTAAAAAAAAAATAAATCCACCTTAAATGTTCTAAAAAGTTGGTTGTTACCAAAAAGTCTGAATCATCGTATAAATCTTATTTTGATCTTACGATTACTACACTATAAGCTACACGCAATCATTAAACATTTTAAAATGAAAGAGTGCGCAGTATTTTTGAATTATTGTTACATACTTTAATAAAAACATTTAGATGCTTTAACTGTATATTCACACACATATTTACTTTTTTAGATTAAATTTAATTGGATATCTTTCATCTTGTAGTCTTGTAATTAAAAAAAAAAAACAAATACGTAAGATACATATTGCTACATTTTTTAAAACACTTGAACATATTAGAAATAGTTTAATTTTATTATATACATCTACTCTTTTCATTATCGCTCACTTTTGCTTTCGTAAATCATGAGATACCTGTATATTCTTATCTTGAATATATTTAACTTTCCTACAAATACTAACAACAAAAAATTATTAATTTTTCATATATAGAAAAACTATAAAAATATGATTCTAATAATTGCAATTTGCTATTTCAATATTATAGTTTGCGATTGAATCGTGTCGATAATACCGCTAATTAAATCTCAGTATTTCGACGAGAGTAGTAATTAATATGTTAGTTATGAGTTATCTAATGAAACACCTTTATTAGATTAGTTAAATATTGGCTATTAGAATATGTGATCTTCATTACTTTGTATAGGTTTTGCTAATATCTTACGTATAAGACTATAAGAAAAATGTTTAATCTTTAAAAATCGCTTTAAACATTTCACGCTTGAAACATTACAAAATAATGTTGAATAATGTTAACATGGATAGTTTTGCGAGTTAACAATTTAATCATATGACGGAATTAATAGCATATAAATTGATTAAAAGATTAAAATCGATTAAAAACTGCCTTATTGACTAATTATAAAAATTATAATGATCGAGTTGTAATTAATTAAATACATCGTTAATAAAAGTAAAAATGAAAAGATTAAATTCCTGTTATGTATATCAAATTAATTCTTGCTAGATAAAACTCGTCGTGGTAATTCTTTTTTCTACGAAAAAAGTGAAAATTATTGTTAAATAATTCATTAAAAATGCCAATAGCTATGAAATACCTTGTATAAACATATGCATTCTGTTAAATACTATGTGCAACCTAATGGAGGTCAAAGTGCAGTGGGTCAGTGGAACGCGAGTGATAGAGGACAAGTTGCACAGCACAGTTATATACTCGCTTCGATTAGCTTCACTATCGCCCATTAGTTTATCCTTAACGTGTCTTCGTAAAAGCTTGTTTTTAAGAAATCAGAGAAACTGAATTTTCTAAATTGATTGTGATTAGGAAATGTTTTAAAAGAGTAATTACTTGTAGTAGTAGTAGTTGTACAGTAATAGAATTATTTATACATCACGTACGTGTGCATACATACATATCTCACGTCACATTATAATACATTACATTACATGTAAAAATACTTGTCAAAAACGTTCTTGATTTAGTTTTATTTGAAGCGTATATAGAAAAGTAAAGAAAGTGCATAAAATACAGAATAACCCAGTATTAAACTTTCCAATAATACGTATGCTATCTGTCATGGAAATTTTTGAAGCTCATAATTAGAGAATGTTTTTTGATGACAATTAAGATCTCTGTATATTTTTGTACACCAATTTAATTTCTTGATTTTAATTGTATTATGAATCTATGTTGATGTATTTTAAATATTTTTTTAATCTTAGAACTTTAAAATTATAAAAATACTTTTTAAAAAGCTTGCAGTGAAAAAAAGAAAATTACTCCTATGCTTTTTCTATGTTGTTCCTTTTGTAACGCCTCTTCCGGTCGTCCTCATCCTGTACCTGCATCCTTCATTCTGCGATACCGTTAGGTTCCGCAAGAGAATACGAGTTTCTACTCGTCTTGTTTTCGCCGTACGTGGTATGAACGGCAGGCGCAGCGTGATTTTCACTCACGTTTTGCATCATATGAGATATGCACTTTCTTACGTAATTCGAACTTTATTACTTTACCCAAAATCTTCTATTAATTTTTTCTTATAAGGGCAATTTTCTCTACCGCTAGAAAAGATTACTCGATCTTGTTTGAAATTCTAATGGATTGGAGTTAATGGGGTCGCGTGATATCTACTAAACTTGAATTAAACGAGTTTGAATTAGATTCTCAGATTTCTGTTAGAATACTTATTGTAAATTATGCAATCATTTCGCTCAAGCGATAGTAAGATCGATCGTGGATAAAACAAGTAAAAAAGGGAAATGGAAAAAGGAGAACCGGTTGCGTGCCATTAATAGGTTTTCTAACGAATTTAATCGACAGTATCGTCTGCGAAATTTTCACATAGCATATTTATTTGACTGTTATATCAAGTGATCAAAGAGGTATAACATTTACCGCCGAAACATTCAAGTGGGTATTGCACGATTTTTCAAGCGCATTACACTGTTCAACGACGAAAGGTGAGTGAGTCTTTGATCGAAGAACCGTGATAAATTGTTCAATGCACCGTCGTGAGCACCTCGCAAATCATTTATCTATTATCGTCATGCACCGTAACGGGGCGCATTGACATTACTATGCCACATTCATAGATCCACGCGGC